CGGTCCTCCAGGACCGAGTTTGGACATGCCTGGCGTAGTGTGAGTACACCCTTAATTGTAAACTGAATGAGAAATCGAGTTCACACTGAAGGGATCCTCGTCCTGTTGCCCATGCCTTCATCAGTCTGTTGTGACTCCTGAGCACTCTGCACTCCTCCGTCTCTCTCCACGTTGTCCCCTCAAACCTTTGATTGTTCATTTTGACCCATCAAACATCCTGTAACCCCTTAGGTCCTGCTACCTGGGCAATGGCGACATCTAAACCTGACATCATGATTATCCTACTGAGTAAACTTTTAGAGGAAGGAGATGGCTTCTACAAGGTCAGATTTACTCGAAACTTACCTCTGATGTTTGCACAGATTTGTCTTATACAAAGTCATTGGCTCTAAGTATTTACACAGTCAATCATCTTTTCTCCTGCAGAAGGGTAAAGTAAAAGAGGCAGCTCAGCGCTACCAGTATGCGCTGAAGAAATTTCCCCGTGAAGGATTAAGTGAGGACTTGAAGACCTTCAAGGAGCTCAAAGTGTCTTTGTTCCTGAACTTGTCCCGCTGTCGGAGGAAAATGAATGTGAGAACACCATAAACGTTTCTAAAAAATACTCTTTGCAAAGCCTTATTCTGATTATTAATGCACACAGGAAGGTTCAGTATAAAATACTTAATCGATATTACATTTTCAATAAGCAGCACGTTGTGAGAACCTTGCAGATACATGTCTAATACAAAATGATGATATGTCAATCCAATAAGTTTTTATTGAACATACTTTCTTGGTTGCAGGACTTTGGAATGGCAGAGGAGTTTGCTACCAAGGCTCTGGAACTCAAGCCTAAGTCCTATGAGGCGTTTTACGCTAGAGCCCGTGCCAAACGGAGCAGCAGGTAGGTACCTCTTATTACTTTTCTTCATTCCACTTCAAGTTACTTAAGGGTGGTTTAATAATTCCATTGCCAACCCATAGGCAATTCGCTGAAGCACTAGATGACCTGAGGGAAGCCATAAAACTATGTCCCAACAATCGGGAAATCCAGCGCCTCCTCCAGCGTGTGGAAGAAGAGTACAGACAAGTGACCCAATCAGAAGAGCTAGAGCTTGAGCCACCTCCATCTCCACCACCATCTCCTTTACCAGTGGAAGAAGACGAGGAGCCCCCTCGTCACACTCCTCCTCCTGAACCAAGACTTGATGACATGGAACCTGTCCAAGACTTGTTTGAGGATGATGACTTCCTGGAACAAGAGCTAGAGGCTGTGTCTATTGGTCTTGCTTCTGATATTCGCTCAAACACTTCGAGTCTTGCCATCATTCGTAGTCCACCCCTTTCTCCTGCCCATCATGACACTGGCTACCTATCTGGGGGGCAGGCCTTTGAGTTCCACCCAAGCTCCTCTTCTATGTCATCTCCTACTCATCATAGTTACCAGTCAACTTCCCCTTGTATTTCCCCAACACATCAGAACTCCCACTATCGCCAGAGTCCACCCCACACCTCACCTGCCCACCAGTCCTCCTACCGTTTCAGCCCGCCACCCATGGGTGGTGGAGGGAACCAAGGGATGGACTATCAGAGTCCTCCACCGTCTCCTCTTCGACGTGGGGTTCCATTCCGAGCCAGCCCTCCAGTTGAGAGTGTGTGTATATATCGTTCCCAGTCTGGCTCTCCAGTCCGCTACCAGCAGGAGCCTTTACCTAGCCGTCCCAAATCTCCACTTTTGAAGATGAGCAGTCAGCGATCCTTCCAGCTCCAATCGCAACCATCCCAGAGCTCCCAGACCAGCCAACACCACCAGGTTCAGGGTCTTCGTCTCCAGCCCTCTATGGCACAAATTGTACGCACTAACCAGCCCAGTAACAGTGTGTACAGCCAGTTGGCACATCCACTCAGCAGCAGGTATCAGGGTAGTTCCATGGATGTGGACAGGGATAGAGATCGGGAGCCAAGACTAGTGTACCAGCCTTCACTGGATGGCCGTTCAATGTCTCAAGTGCAATCAAGCCTTAGTGTGGGAGCTCTTTGTCAGCACGGGGGTCGAGGTGGACCTTCTGGGGTTCTAGAGTCAAACTTAGGGAAAGACGAGCTGCCTCAACGTCCTGCTTCAGCCTACCGTTCAGCTACAGGTGGGCCCGGAGGCATGCGTTTTAGCCAAACTCCACAGATCAGCCGCAGCCAGTCGGCAGCATACTATCCTGTCTCTAAACATGAACTTGAGAGAGCAGTGGCAGCCTCTGCTCTGCCTCCATGCCAACTGGGATCTCCAGAGATTCCTCATCTAGTGCGTAGACCCATCAGTGCCAATACAAGTGACCTAAAGCAGCATGTACCGACCCCCAGACCTCTTATTCACTCCCAAAGTGTAAATCTTCGCTTCTCCCCATCGAGCAGTAATATCTCCTCAGGCTCCAGCTGCAATCTAGCTTCTGGCTTCAGGCCCTCCTCCTCGATGGCCCAAATGGAAATCCCACTGCAGGTGGCATATGAGCGAAGCTTCGATGAGCCATCTGCCCTCTCGCCCTCTCAGAGCGGACACTACTCGGGTGAACCGACTCGATCCCGGACCACTCCATTCATGGGCGTCATCGACAAGACTGCAAGGACTACGCAGCAGTACCTTCACCAGCCTTCCCGGGCCTGGCCCGTGTCATCCCTGGAATCGGTCATCACTAGCCCCACGTCCCCTGGCAACTTGATCCACCAAGCCTCCACCGCCTCCTCCTACAGCCCTCCGACATCTCTAGGCAATATTGCCTACTACAATAAGACTAACAATGCCCAAAATGGACACATGCTAGAAGAGGAGTATTATTCCCAGCCACAGCCATCCTCCCTTGGCAAGCTTGCCAATGGAGGGGCCCGTGATCGAGACCTCCTGGAGCGGGTGAGCCAAGTGCCCACGTATCAGGATGTTAAGGTGGCCCGGACAATGCCCGTGGCACAGGCGTACCAGGAGAACATGTACCGCCAGCTATCCCGTGATGCCAGACAAGGTCCCACCTCGCCCATCAAACCAAAGAGACCCTTTGTGGAGTCAAATGTTTAATAGGCACCCAAAAGGGTGGGCACAAAGGTGTGTGCGAATGTTTGTGTCAGGTCTAACGCAAGGGACTGTGTAGGTGCAGCATATTAAAACCAGTATTTCGAGTAGACAAAACTGCTTAGTAGAGTTACTTTTAATAAACAAACAAACAGTGTTACAAAGTTGTGTTCAAATACCTGTGCCTACTTCAGGTCAACTCAATCTCCTGGTAAAAACTTAGTTTTTAGAACCTGGGTGGTGGACGGGCTCCGAATAGTCTGAAAGGCACCAGTTTGGAGCATTTGAATACAGTATGTAAAGGTAAAAAATGTTCTATAAAGCTCTGCACATTATAAGAAAGCACATTTATTCACATTCCACAACAGATGTCTACATGCAGAGGAACGGAATCGACATCGTTCCCAGCAGTAAAGCAGATAAGAAACTGGGGAGTCTATGTGAGTTGAACTCATTTCTTCTCTCTCTCTTACTTCCGAGTAAAACTAAACAGATTTGCTAGGCTTTCTGGACGTCACATTGTGGGATTGTTCAATACTGTATAAATCAGACAAAACCAAGCTGTAGTTACAGAAGGGAAAAGAGAAATATTTATAATTAAGTTATATAATGTATAGAAATATTTAGGCAGACATCTGTCGGGTTTATTTCGTTTTCGTTTTGTCATTCTTTTTGTTGGGCATTCGGAAATGGTATTAGATATTTTCAAAATAGTAACTCTTTTAGTTTATGCCTGGAGATCTTTACGGTTCTGGCTCCCAAGCAGAAATATTGTATGTATCAAAATTCTAAATGGTGGAGTGGCAATAACATTAGCTAATAATCAAATCCTTGTGAATGAGATTTTCAAGTAACCCTCACATTTTATGAACAAAGCTTCTGACTTTATTTACAAAATGAGTGGAGTTCATTATCGAGCACTGGAGTGGCTATCCTGCCGTATTTCAAGTCAAAGAATGTATCACACCATTGACGTCTTATGAACTCTACAGTATGTATACTACGCGAAGCTTCAGGGGCGTTTGTAAGGTAGTAATACCATTTCTTCTCCTCTTTTTTTTGGTTTCTTTGTTGTTAAGAAATGGAATATTGGAGTATATCAAGTGAAGTATCTTTGTTTTAACTTTTCTTCAGCCTGCACTGGCTGTCTGTGACATTATGAAGAAAGAGAGCACTTTATTCGTTCGTAAGGACTGTATGGAATGTGAATATCAGGGGGATGGATATGTCGTTTCATTGTTTTCCTTCGGAACCAGGATTCAACATCCTTACTAACAAACATTGAGTGAACACTGGAAAATAACCTGTGATTAGTTGTACTACTAGAAAAACAAATAGCAGTCGTTGTCCTTGGTGCGATTCTAATTTTTCATGCAAACGAATGAACAATAATATAAAAGAGCGAGATTATGTTTTTAAAAAGATATAAAGACGTGTATATAACAGCCTTTAAAGAGCGCAGTGTACTTGCTGTATATAGTGGCCAAACGTGATCATGCATACGAAGCTCCTGCTCTCCGCTGCAAACACATCGCCAAATGCAGTGCGTGAGAAGGACTCAGTGGCATAACACACACAATACTGACGAGCAAACCAGCCGTTTTCAACTAGTGTATCTGTTGTGTACAAAAAAAAAAAAATCAATATTCAGCTAGTTCCTTTTCGAGTTCTCTGCTTCCGAATGCAATATTATTAACACGCAGAGCTTAAATGTGGCTTTGGTCAAATCCAAAATACAGTATATGGACAGATATCGAAGTCTTAAAGACAACCATATTCACCTTTCTATTGCTGTCAGTGTAAACCTGCTTGAATTGATAGATGCCTCATGGTCAACTTGGGGGGGAAATGCTACAGAAAACACGACGACAAACAGTTATCGAGAGCGAGGTGTAATATTATTCTTATTATTTGTTTCGTTTTTCCGCTGTACATAACCTGACGCATGATTTATCCTCCATTCCCCTTCAAAATGGACACACACAGACATTCGCGAATCCGCTGTATGTCTCCGATAGAGGAACTAAACAAATAAAGTTCACAGCTGACGGAAAAAACAAACGTAAAGACGTGACTTTCATTAGGGTTTGGCCTTTCTTTTGATTCTTCAGTTGGATTTGAGTTGATTTTAATGTACTTGCTTGCTAAGCAGAGTTTCTCGTCTGTAAATGTGAGCTTTCAGAGCGCTGTGACAACGTTTAATGACTTCAATAAACCAGAATGTGTTTTTATCATGTCACTCGTCATTTTTATATGGTGTGTGTTTAATGAATGCAGGATGAAGAACGTATATTCATTATAAACTACAACGTTTGCCTCAATAAACTCATGGCAAGCACTGAAAAAAATGAATGACAACTTATTTTAGGGGCAATACAGTGGCTCAGTGGTTAGCACTGTGGCCTCACAGCAAGAAGGTCACTGGTTTGAGCCTCGGCTGGGTCAGCTAGCATTTCTGTGTGGAGTTTGCATGTTCTCCCCGTGTTGGCGTGGGTTTCCTCCGGGTGCTCCGGTTTCCCCCACAGTCTAAACACATGCGCTATAGGGGAATTGAATAAGCTAAATTGGCCATACTGTATGTGTGTGAATGCAAGAGTGTATGGGTGTTTCCCAGGGTTGGTTTGTGACTGGAAGGGCATCTGCTTTGTAAAAACATATGCTGGATAAGTTGGAGGTTCATTCCGCTGTGGCGACCCCTGATTAATAAAGGGACTAAGGCGAAAAATAAAAGGAAAGAATGTATTTTCTATTATACAGAGAACAGAGATTATACAGAGAAATATACAGTTAAAGTCAGAATTATTAGTTCCTCTGTTTATTTTTTCCCCCAATTTCTGTTTAACGAAGAGCAGATTTTTTCAACACATTTCTAATCATAATAGTTTTAATAACTCATCTCTAATAACTGATTTATTTTATCTTTGCCATGATGACAGTAAATAATATTTAACTAGATATTTTTCAAAACACTTCTATACAGCTTAAAGTGACATTTAAAGGTTTAACTAGGTTAATTAGGTTAACTAGGCAGGTTAGGGTAATTAGGCAAGTTATTGTATAACGATGGTTTGTTTTGTAGACTATTGAAAAAATATGTAGCTTAAAGGGGCTGATAATCTTGACCATAAAATGGTGTTTAAAAAATTAAAAACTGCTTTTATTCTAGCCAAAATAAAACAAATAAGACTTTCTCCAGAAGAAAAAATATTATCAGACATACTAGGAAAATTCCTTTGCTCTGTTAAACATCATTTGGGAAATGTAATTTTTTTATTTATTTATTTTTTAAATAAA